CGGCTCATTCTGCAACTCCTCCGGCGACCATCGGAATTCGGAAGTTTTTACCTCTTTTTCCGGTAGCTACCGATTCGATTTCTCGTTATTTCTCTTGCGTATATATGTAGATAAGATATATTCCTTTTGTTTCAATTTCGCTGAATATTTTTTATTTTCTGCTTTAGTTTGGTGGTTGTGTTGATAGGAATTCGAAGAAATATAGGGATGCTGATCTTCTGTATGTGTTTTTAGCTCTGTTTTTTTTGGGATATTGATGGATTTTGATGTTTGACCTTGCTGTAGTTGATGATATAGCGTTAGGCAGAAAGAAATGAGCTATGTTATAGTAGTTATTTAATAAAATTGAAAGTAAAGAGGGGTTTTGCGGTGGAAAAGGGATAGTAGGGTCTTATGTGTTGAGGAAGTTGGAATTAATTGATTGTGCTATGATTTACTGATTTAATTGAATTTCTCTATAAAAAAAGTTTCGATCTAACTGCGAGGAAGAAGATTTTATAGAGAGGATTGAGGAATAGGTGTCTTTAAAACCAAGTATAAGAGTTTATAAGATAAATGGATTTTGACAACTTTGATGAAGGGGATATCTTGAAGGAGCCTATTGCTGAACGACTTAGGACATACCGAAATACCAAACTAGGTATCAATGACTGCTGGAACTTTTACCTGCGTATATTTGCTGAATTGCTTTCTGAGTAATTGGTAGATTGTGCAGTTCAGTTATCTAACATTCTAACTCTTTTTGCCAAGTGATAAAATCTCCCAACTCATGCTTTAGTTATGTTAGTACATTTGCTTTAGGTCCTAAATTTTTCAGGAGCTTTTTGCTCTATTCAAGATTTTTGTGTTAGTAGAAAATATAGAAACTTCTAGTACTTTTGTTTTTCTTTTCACTTCGTATAATGAATGAATTTAAATAGAGAAACATGGTTAATGAGGGCTCATATTGCCCAAACTTGTCTGGGATTTAGGCGTAATAGTTGTTTGTCTTTAGTTTTGCGTGAATGACATCCATATAAACATGGACATAAATGCTACATCCAGTTTCTAAAATGTGTATCAACATTTTGTACCTGTTTTAACAATATTCTTTGCTGATATACTTGTCTAGGATCAAAAGAAATGGAGTTCTTCTTCAGAACACAGACTGAGGAGACATCTGATTGCTCCTTCAATGGCCAGGATATTCAAAGATGCCCGTTCTTGAGTAACATCAACAAGCCAACAAACTTTTCTTTCTTTTCTGCTCTGAACTTTCCCAGCCCTGTAAGTTATTTTTTTCTTAATTTTATAGTTGGTGGTTCAAGTGAATATGGTTATCCATGTGCCGTTGTACTGTTTAAGCATAAAGATACAACTTTTTTACAGTATTAACATGCTAGTCATTATTTTCTTTTGTTCTTATACTACTGATATGGTTAATTATTTCTTCTAATGCCTCACTATTTCACACTTTAATCTTATTACCTTTCAGGTGAAGGGAGGTAAAGGTCCAATTTTTGAAGATGGCCCCAACTTCGATATGGCATTTAAAGTCTTCCATGGAAAAGATGGGGTTGTCCCACTTTCTGGAAGGTCTCAATTTTTCAATGACAACATTGAAGTAGAGTCTGCCCCTCAATTTAATCCTTTAGCTGCAAAAGCTGCCACCATAAGTTTGTCTTCATTCGGAGCAGGAGGTCCTTTTAGCTTTGATTCTTTCTCTCGGAAATGGAATTCACAGAAGAAGAAGCCGGAGTCATCCAAAAAGAAAAAGCCTTCTTCTCAGGTTTGTTTGCTGTGATTAACAAGAATATGTGTATTGACCAATGATGTTATAATGTGATTAATATTGTGATCATGAATCTAAATTCTTGATATTGACTTTTGGATTTTCCCTTACAGAATACTCAAGTCTCTTGATTATTTTTGGTGAAAATGCCTTTTTGCTCATCTCTGCGTGTAAATGTTCTAGTCTATTGTTAGTTGTGAATTGAATTTATGTAGGTTAAAATGATGACTTCTATATAGTGTAGGTAAATATTCACAACATTAGAAGATTAAAATATTCTGGTATATGGCTCTCCTGTATTGTATACTGAGCAACAGGTGGGCTTCATTGGGTGGCTGTCTATTGTCAACTATATAGTTAGACAGTGGCATTTACAAAATGGTATAGTTATCATAAATGTTTCATAGTAATTGGTTTAATTTGATCAGACTTCTCTTGAGTACACTTGACCACTTATTTTGACAAGTTTTTGTGGTTTCTGCTAGATGTTGAGAATGTGCCTTAACAAAGTGAAATCATACGAGTGTAGAAATTTTTTCAAAGAAATTGCCAATAAGTCTTCTTGATGAAGATACTGCATTTTTTTCTGCAAAAATGGCATCTTATAAAGTTTGCCTTCTTTATTCATCTTTTGTTTTTTTTTCCAGGACAAATCTTCTAAGCACGAGGCAATGGGAAATGAGTGGTTGGAGTCAGGCAACTGTCCTATCGCCAAATCTTATAGAGCTGTTAGCGGTGTTCTCCCACTTGTGGCCTCAGCTTTTCAGCTGCCTCCCGGTATGAAGCTCAAATGCCCGCCTGCAGTTGTTGCAGCCAGGGCTGCCCTCGCCAGGACTGCTTTTGTGAAGACTGTGCGGCCGCAACCACTATCTTCAAAGATGCTTGTTATTGGAGCTTTGGGCATGGCAGCTAATATTCCACTAGGCATATGGAGAGAGCACACTGAGAAGTTCTCACTTTCATGGTTTACTGCAGTCCATGCTGCTGTTCCCTTCATAGCTATGCTGAGGAAGTCAGTTGTGATGCCCAAAACAGCTATGGCATTAACCATTGCTGCTTCTATCTTGGGACAGGTCATTGGCTCAAGAGCAGAGAGACTTCGAATGAAAGCAAAAGCCGAGAGTGTTAAATTGGTAGCGCAGACTGGCTCAGATGGGGTTATTGCACAGAGTAGCACAGAGGGTGTTATTGCAGGTCTCAACTCAATCCAGGTCAGTGGTATGCCCGGGGTTCATTGTGGCACACAGGGTATGCTAAAAGACCAACCCTCGAAAGAATCTGCCAATACTATATCTCCATCTGCCAGTCTCTGTTTCTAAACATTTTTAGAACTGGTAAGTAAGCAGTTGATCTATAATGCTGCTAATAAGAGAGTGTGCCCCTTGCCAGAGAGAGCAGGAGATTTAAAAGTAATATGCATTATTATATGTTTAGTGTTTGTATCAAATTCATGTAAAGGACAAATATTTCCATGACCTATATGGTCTTGACTCTTGAGTGTTGCATAATCCTGAAATACAATGTACTATTGGATAGAACCTCTATCAATAATATACCAACCCATCATGTTTCCATATCCTACTGCCCTCCCTAATATTCATTGGGTTATTTAGTTGAGTTTGATGCTCTTTCTAACTCCTACTTATTTATTTTATTTCATTTTGCTTCGTCGATTTGAATGTAGATGATGTTGGACAGAACTTATGTAAGTTTGATATTAGCTTTTTATCAGTAAGTTGATCTGTTTCAGCAAGGGGGGGAAAATGCCTAGTTGTGATAGAGGAAGCAAGTTGCTGTAAAGTGGGACTTTTTGACAAGAACTGTCATGGAAGTTGGCAAGAAAATGGCTTTTCAGTGTTCTTTTATAATCATGATTTATTACAAAAGTTGGGGAATATATAGTTACAATCATATTAAGAAAACCAAAATTCATTATTAAGAGATTTAAAAAATCAGAAATGAAAAATCAAAGGAAGCAAAAAAAGAACGGAAACTAAACTAATTTGGACTTAGGCTCATGTTAGGAACAAATAGTCAAATCCCAAATATAATTTTTTTGACTAAATGACCACAAACACAAATTTTCTCTACATTTTTTCTTTATTTCTGTCCAAAATCAACGTGAGAAAAATTGACAAAATTAGAATCAAAGATTTTAAATTTTTTTAAGTTTGGTTTCAGTTGGTGATTGTCATCAACCACTAATACTAATTTAATTAAGATAATATGGATACAGTCGATCAATGTTGACAAGTGAGCACCATTTTTAGTTACCTCCTTAAACAACTTAATTATTTATTAACAACAGCGTCTTTAATTATTGCTTATTGTCACCAACCCTATTACTTTTTTATAAATCATATTGGTTGATCACTTTTCTTTTTACGAGCATACTAAAAAATCATAACAAAAAATAATTTTGTTCATTTCATCCCTTAAAAAACTTCTGATGAATTTTACAAACAAAGCTAAACACTTTCAAAAAGAATTAATGCAAAGGTAATATAATTAATTAATGTTTTTCTTAATTTAATAAGATAATCAATTAAAATTGGACAATTATTTTAGTAAAATGATAAATTAATATGAGACGGTGGAATATAATAATTCAACTTTGCTAACAAATCATGAAAGCACTAAGCACTTATTTACTTGACCTATGAGAGCAAAAGTTTTTGAGCACCTATATGAATTTAATAAAATTAATGTGGTAATAAATGTTGATTGCTCAATTCCATGTAAGATCCAACATGATTATTAGATCATACATTACCAATAAAGTTAGCAATATTGAATTATACTATAAATTTATAATATTTTTTTAATTGTAAAATAAATTAATTTTTTTATTTTTAATTAAAAAATATTAAATTTAAAATAATAAAGATATTCAAATAAGTAAAATAATATACGTAAAATATTATTCTGATCAAATTTTGATCAAAAAGATTTTTCCTCAATAAAAATTGATTGCCACTTTTCAATAATACATTCAGAAAGAAAATCAGATCAAAGATTATCTTCAACTTTCAAGATGTAATGACTGACATATAAAAATGGATAAGTTTTCATATTTTGTTCATTGATTAAAATTAATTACCTATTTTATCCATACATTATAAAAAAGAATTAATACTCCACTAAAAAATTGATTAGTTTTAAAATGATAGCTAATATCTAAATAGTAGTATAAATTTGGCTATTTTTTGAATTTTGTCCAATTTTCTTCCTCGTAAACGGTAATTGGGCTGGTAACCAACTTTATGAAGCCCAAACTAATAAAAGCCCATTAAAAGAATCCATTAAACCCCCATCACCTTCAAAGGCTAAAACCCTGTAGGAAACTGTAGAGCTTCGACAATTTTGAGCAGCAGGTACCCTTTCTAGTTTCTCTATTCTTCAATATTATTGGGATTCTTTATATTTTTTTTGTGAAATTAATCACAAAAAAATCGCATTTTTAATGGTTTTTTCTGTTGTTGTTGTTGTGAAATATCGAACTACAATTGAGAGTTTGATTATTCTTTTGATTTGGGTTTCTGAAAGTGTTTTTTTTTTCATTATTAAAGAGACTCAGCTCAGATGCAAATTTTGTATAAAGTTTTGATTTTTTCTGTTTCTTGATGTGTATTGAGAAAATGGAAGCTGTTTTATCTGGAGAAATCATTTTAGGTAAATTAGGTATAATGATTATGTTTGATACTTTTGGGTATTAAAGGTTGATAACAATGCTTAGGTGTTAGACTAAAGAGGAGTTTGAGTAAGGTAACCAAACAAGGGAAGACATTTTCTATTGTACTGAACACATGTCATATTCCTCTGTGGTTCAGATCAGTAACTTGATACAAATGGTGATTGGGTTTATTTCCTCGTTTCACTCTGAATAGAGTTCTTCTCCATTTACCCTGATTGGGCTTTACTATGCCTGCTTTTTCATATCGCAAGGTAATGCGAGATACTGTTTTGACTTGTGGAGTTTTGTGTTGGAGTTAATTAGAATTTTGTTGCTTACTTAATGATAGCAATGTTTTGTAGTAGTTGCATTTTGTTTTCCTGATAAGTTAGAGTAGTGGCCTGCACTGTAAAGGCATAGTCTTTTGCTTAAATGGGTTTGCAGTAGATTTGACCTTTTCACGATTCTTGATCCATTTTAGTTTTTTACGGGGTCTTATTTGATATTTATCTAATTAGTGTTTTTTTTTGCACATCTGAATGTAAAGAAGGGAGCTTTTACTTTGATTTAGCTCAAAATGGGGTGGAAAAGTTATCAGAAACTCATTCATCAGTGGAGAATTCTCAGAGGAGATAATGTAAGTTCATTCATCATTGTTTTGCATGCTGAATCAATTTCTCAATACTTCCGTTTCATGTTTCACATTTTTCTGCCATCACTCAGGTCATGATTATCAGAGGAAAAGATAGAGGCGAGACCGGCGTTGTCAAGCGTGTCGTACGTTCTCAAAACCGTGTAATTGTCGAGGGGAAAAACCTGGTTAGTAATTTTGTGACACTTACTTTATATCTCTAAGCATATCTTGTCGTAATTTATTCTTTCTTTAAACATTTCTTGTCATATTCATTGTGGATCCATCGCAACCGTGATTGTCTGATGCTGGGACATATGCTCAAAGTGGAGGGGATTGTGTATAGAACTGAGGACTTAGATTATAATGAATAAGCAAGTTTGTCATTAGAGTTTCCAAGGTGTTTCCTTTTCCAAATTTTGGGTCTTACACAAATACAATAATTTGAATAGTTGTGATGTAATATAGGGTGCTTGTCAATTTTACGTAGAAGATTGGTAAGTGGCTCTAACAATCTTATTGCTGGTCTGTATTATAAGATGTCGTGCGCAACTAACATAAAAATGAAAATATCCCTGCTTTTGAAGCAAAGGGCATGTTGCTATTTGAAGGTACATCTCCTGTCTCCCTATATACAAAGATTGTAGCCTTAAAATATTGAAAAAAATGAGAGATGTTTTTGAGGTATAAAATCTAATGCAGATGAGTACTAATTTTCTGCATAAATGATAATTGTTCTACACTGGAAAACCATTGTGCAAACACTTAATAGTAGGCAGTTGGAGGATATTACGAAATGTAAAATGAAGGGTTGAGAGAAATATATTAATTTATATACATGGTCAGTATAGCAAGCTTTTTGCACTATCAGGTCACCCAAAGGACATAAATAGGTAAGCTTCCTTAAAACGGGGGATTTGTAATTTTGAAAATAAGACAGATTATGCTACCCGTGGTAAAATTGACTCGATGGTTTAAAAAATATTTTATACTGACGGTGGATATATCTCAAACTCATAACGGCATTTACTATTGTTAAGGTTTGTAGATGTAGCTATTATTAGCAAGAGAAGCTTTAAATTGAAAATCTCACACTGGATAGAGAGGTTAAGATCTTGAGAAATTAGCAGTCCTTTATGATCCTATCCGACTTGATGTGACCTTCGTGACGCTACTCTGTTATGCCAGTTTTCACGGTACCTCTGAATTTGGATTAGTCTCTTTGGGTTCAAGTGGTGATAGTATCAGCCTTTGTTGTGTGTTGTTAACATTAAGCTTAGTGGTGGTGTTGGAGAATGGTCTCGACTGAAGGATGTCTAGGTTTTAATTATCCAACGCTCTGCGATTGTAATCTGAGAGCATAAAGTAGTTTCAATGTAGTAAATCCTCATTGGTGACCGTATATAAAGAATAAGAGAAAGTAGCTTGTTATGATAACATTTAGGGATCGTTTGGTTTAAATACAAGTTATGCTGAGATTAGTTATGATGTGATAAGTTGTGCTGAGATTAGTTATGATGTGATAAGTTGTGCTAAGATTAGTTATAATGTGATAAGTTGTGCTGAGATTAGTTATGATGAGATAAGTTATGCAGAGATTATTTCTTATTGAGTGTTTGGTTTGTTGTATTTAAAATAATACACATTATATAAATTTTAAGAACAACTCTTTTCAAAAATATCCTTCATGAATGCGAAAAATGATGATTAAAAAGGGTTTAAAGGGATATCTTTGTCATTTACCTATTTTATCACGGGATAAGTTATCCTAGGATTACTATACCACCCAAGGGAAAGGATAGCTTATCCCGGTACTAATATTAATCCCGGGATAAGTTATCTCGGACTTGCCAGCCAAACAACAAATTAAGTGACACTATAATTTAATCCCAAGACTATTTGGTGATAGTCTTCACACCAAATGACCCCTTAGTGATAGCTGAATTAAGGAGGAAAGTTGTTAATTTACAAAGAAGCGTTTCTAGCTATTTTAGTTTGACTATATATTTAGACTGTTGGTGTAAGAGAGGTTCTTTATCTAACATGATAATATTCTGGCCTTAGTTAGACTTTCTAAAGCTTTATCAGAGGACAAATCACTTTGTTACATCTTCAGTACCCACTTGGTACTATTCATAAATACAGTTTCCTTATTTTATCAAAAACTAATTAGTATGTTACAAAATAATCCCTTATATTACCCTTCTGCAGGTCAAGAAACATATCAAACAAGGGCAAGGTCATGAAGGTGGAATATTTACAGTTGAAGCCCCGCTGCATGTTTCCAATGTTCAGGTTGTAGATCCAGTCACAGGGTATGGATATATTATTTCTCTTTACCTTTTATTTTTTGCTCTTAGAACATGGTAGCTCATGTCTTCTTCCACAGAAAACCAACCAAGGTCGGAATTAGATACCTGGAGGATGGCTCCAAAGTAAGAGTCTCAAGAGGTATAGGAGCATCTGGCTCTATCATTCCCCGGCCTGAGATCTTAAAAATAAGGACCACACCAAGGCCTACAGTTGGTAATTATCAAATCCTTTTACGTATGAGTATGTTCTTCTAAATGAGTATTCTGTTGCATTTCAAATGTAGTAACTGCTGTATCTTTTTGTATCTTTTTTTTTTTGTGGCGGGAGGTTACTTAAAAAAATAAGTTTATTGGTTTAGAGGTATAATCTGATTTCAACTGGAAGTAGAAATGAAAGGTTAAAACTTTAGAGAGCTTCGGATCAATAGTAGTCAACTGCATGATGCAACCTTAATGTGAGACAAGTTTCATTGAAGACAAATTGTTGAAATATACATGAAGGATTATGGTTGGTTTGATAAAGTATAATTTGAAATTAGATTATAAGTCAAATTTAGATGAACATCGATCTGGAGAGCTCAAGAACATGGTTTATTCTTCTATTCCCTCCCTTGGTTTCATATGTGGGATTACTGTTTGGATGATTGAATGCCTTCTTATCACCTTTTATCATTCTTCCTTTTTTCTGGGGTTGGGTGGGTTGTGGGGGGGGAGGGGGGAATTCGTTTGATGGTAGTTGTTGCTTAGCCAAATGGTGCTTGTTTGACATTGTTGTTTACCACATTCCTTCTGGAAATTCTTGTAGTTTGTTCAACCAATTAATATGTTTTGAGTACTCTGCTTGGTCTACTTTTTTAATGTGTTTGCGGAGTCTGGTCTTTTCACTCTTGTGTATGTTTTGGTTTCCTTGTGCAGCTGGTCCTAAGGATACTCCAATGGAGGTTGTTATGGAGAGGACATATGATCCAAAAACAGGAAAAGGCATGCCAGATCTCTAAAGAAAATGTGGTGTACCTAATGCATCACTTTGTGAGAACACTGTTGTTACTTATTTCATTGAAGGAACTCACACTGTTTGGCTTTAGACCAACGGAATTTGCTACAGATAAATAGTGTTAACCGCTAAAATTATGGTATACTTGAAAAGTTTTTAGCAGTTGTTGAAGATCACGTGCCTAGTGGAACTCTCAACCCTAAATCTAAATGTTTCATGTTTGACGGTCATCATCATTGCAGATTTTTCCCATTTGGCACTTGCCCATGGCAAAATATTTTGTGAGAGCCTATTGCAACTGAAAGAATTGCCACTTTTAAGTGCGTTAAAAGAAAGTGTCATGAATATTTCACTATTTCATTTGGTATATTATTCTGAAAAATTGCGTGGACATAGATTTCGTAATTTTTCAGGGTACTTGAAAGTGAAAAAACGTTGTGCGAGTACAAGTGTTAAAAAGAAAAAGAGAAGGGGATCATCATGGTCTCAAGACATAAATTTGACTAGAGTTCAAGTGATAAAACTTCCAAGTCTAGGGATCTAAATGAAATATTATACTGTAAAAGAAGTTAGCTTCCAAAAATTGACTAAAACCAAAGACATTTACCGTTAATTCTTTTTCTTCGATTTTCGTGACACTTAATTAACGTACCCAAGCCTAAAACAAAATAACTTATTTGAACAAAGAGGGAATATTACGTAGCGAATAAATAAAGATGACATGTGACAAATGAAAAAGATGTGACAACATAAACATGTCAGTCTGAACTGTAACACACGAGTTTTTATCTTAAAGGGTCGAAACCACAACGAAAGATTACCTAAAAGAACTCAAAAAGAAGAGACGAAAAGAGATGATAATGCAAGACTACAATTTACAAAGAAAGAGCAACGAAACGTCACTCCTCAAAACATGGACGACAAGACTTGTAGTGCACTCCCGTCCAGGAGCCGTGATGCATAATTTAAGCCCCAAGCGACCACTGTACAGAAAGGCAAAACGCAAGCCCCTCAAGAAGCTTTCTCAAAAGCAGAACATGAGCCATGATGAGCCACTAAGAGAAGACATCTAAACCTGTACAGGACAACTTTATGTGCTCAAAGGTTCATCAAAAACCACCAACGTGTTGCCTTGGAGTATTCCCATATCTTCCTGATGTCATGTTATTGGCAGCAGGTGCATTGCTTACACCTGGGCAATCTCTTGCCCAATGTCCATACTGATGGCATTTATAACACTCACCACCACCACCACCACTGCTCATCCCTGAAGTTGCCCTATTGCCAAAACCACTTCCATATGCCTGGCTCTGACCACTCATCATGCTTGGACAGTTTGAAGCACTATGACCTGTTCCACCACAACTATTACAGCTCATATACATGCCTGCAGAAGAGCCAGTCGGAGCATTTTGCGTTCCACTAGGCTGATTTCCATATTGGCCTTGCCGATTTCCCTGCAGTCCACTTTCTCTGCTGATACTGCCTGCAGTAGAGCCAGAAGGAGCAAACTGTGAGCCAATAAGCTGATTCCCATATGGACCTTGCCGATTTCCCTGCAGTCCACTATCTCTGCTGATATGGCTGCCACCATAACTTGCAACAGGGTTCATTGGTTCTTTCAGTTTATTCCCAAATCCAGCATTATTAAACCCTGAATTTGGAGTTGCATCACCTGTCTTAGGAGTTAAAGTGCTGGATTCCTGCCCATTAATCTTGTTTATCAGGTCGAACAGAAACCTGGTCTCTTGTTGGAAGTTAAGCATCTCAGCTTTGACCACTGTTGACTTAACACGCTGCTCATCACTATACATCTCTTCTTTCACTTTCAATTTAAATATAAACTGGTTGAATAACACATTACGCATGATTTCTGCAAACCTATCATCATCCTGCTCCTCATATTTTAAGAAATACAATTCTTTTGCAGATGCACCCATTATCTGGTCACCACATTCTTGAAATGCAGTAACCCATGTTAAGCCAGTATGGTCCTGAATCTGGAACTGAAGTATGTACCTGTATTCACATTCATCAACAGTCTGATCACACCTGTCACACCGCCATTTCCCATCCCCATTATTTGTCACTTTTTTGTTGCACTGTCTATCTCCTATCATGAGGGGACATGCAGTATAGCAAAAATTGTCAACTTTTATAAATGTAACAGTGGCACTTATAGTGATCCAATCTGGTTTCTCAGAAGTGCCCAACTTCTCATCTTTGATTTGAGATATTGTCTTCCGCACATCTGTCCGACCAACACTGCTCACTTCTCGTGACAATGACATAGATGGCATGTTCTTTCCCTCCCTTTCAAACCATGCCTTTGTTTTCAGAGCTTCAGGAAAATCTGGTTCTATAAACAATTTGCTTGTAGATATAGTACCTATAGATTTTCCATTAAAATCATTTACTCTACCAGCTTTAACTGCCAAGACAGGGAAAGACCCAGAATCACACAAACTCTGAAGTGTTTGACCTTCTGCATTGCAAAAATTTCCCCACAAAGTTACTTCAATACTTCTACCAGACATGTCCTTCAGCTGGAGGACTCTCTTCTGAGTTTCTGTACCATTTTTCCTCATTATTGAACTAGATGGACTTATTGAAGACACCACACCAATCACATCTATCACATTATTGTTCTCCGTGGCTTCAATGTCACTGATTGGCCGAAAATGAAATTGCTGCTGAGGAATAGCCCTGTCATCCTCAAAACAAGGTTGAACGACAGACGTGCTCTCGAGCATAATTTCATGGTCATTTGGAAGGTGATTGTAATTTTTTTGAGCTGGTTTCAAGCTTCCTTTTGAAATTTGATACACTCTACCTGGCTCAATCTGGTCATAAAATTGGTCAGCTACAGAGTTAAAACAAGTCACCCTTATTTCTCCTCCATCAGAATCAAGAAGATCAAAAGAGAATACTTTTCCATCACCCCTTTGATTGTTGTAGTGTCTGAGTTCTGTCTTTGCGGTTACCCTGGCCTTGATAGTCCACCGACCCTGATATGGATTGAGAGCAGCAATTGGAACAATCCTTGGAGGTGCTTCATTCTTGGCTATAGGTCCTCTGTTCGAGTACATTGGTGATGGCTGCTGATAAGAAGACTGAGGAGGCTGTTGATAAGAAGGCTGAGGTGGACGCACATAATTCATCGGAGCCCGTGAAATTGCAGGACCAGATTCTGCTCTAGGGTAAAGAGGTGCACCTGAACTATATCGTCCAGAGTCAGTATTCCCAACAGAGGTAGTATTGTAAACACTGCTACGGTTCATCTCTGGAGATTGCATTCCTCCTGACATATTTGGTCTTGGAGTTGAGCCTGAAGTAGCAGAAAGAGAAGCAAATGATTGGGGGTTTACACTTACACCACCTAATTGATTGGTGGAAGGCTGCAGTGGGGCAGCTGGTCGTGGCACCGAAGGAGCACTACCATCAGTTCTGACATAATGCTTTGGGTCTCCAATTTGATCACACGTGTCAACTAAAATATCTAATTCGATAATAATGATGATCCTGTTTGAGGAATTAGACAATGAATATCGATAAACAAATTTTTTAACTGAAAGTATAAATCATAAACATTTACAAAACATGAAATACATAAAACACATATATGTAGGTTCTTCATTGGAAATTATAGCTGGAATTATTGACATGGTAAGCTGTTTGCTAATTATCTTTTCAAAATATCAGTCTCGGGGAAGCTCATCATTCAAAAGTGTCAAGACACTCACCTAAAAGGAAGAAACTTAACAATTAGGGTCAAGCCATATACATATAAGTTGTGCTACCAATCAGAGACTCTTTGCAATTCATGAAACCAAAATGATAATCTAGAAACATACAAATTAGCAATCCTAATTGAAGGAGCACTAAACTGCTAATTTAGATAAACGCCTATCTAATAACACACACATTTGCAATCGTGCCAGCAAAAGCACAAGTTTGCTAATTCGGAAAAAGCCAATCTACAAACCTAAAAATAAATTTAATACCAACTGCAGGAGCAAACCACTGGCATTTAAGAAACCCTGTAATAATAGGAAAAGGTTTTCATACATACAGAAACTTAAACCCCAGTTGAGCACAAGATGTGAGGTATGAAATAATATTTGTAACATCCATGTTATCTTTGTGTTAATTCATCACCAATCCAGAAAAAAAAAATCCAGACCCCCCAGGTAATGGAGTTACACAATTTTTACAGACACAAAATAATTGTACAGACATAACATTTGCTTAGAGCGTGCAAATAACAACAGCAACCAACAAATATAAAAAAGTATTAAACAATCGATTCTTTCTCAAAAACACAAACACAAAACAGCACTGCAAAGCATTTCAATGAAAAAATTCACTCAAAAGTGCACACATGCAATCCGAGATTTCAATAATCATATCATTACTAGTCCACATAATACCAAAATTAAGAGTAATTGAAAGGGAATCAGGAATCATTACACTCGATTCTGGATGACATTACGAACGAACTCATTCATCTGAATAATAGTTCCTTTCCGAATCTGTTGAGACCGAATTAGATCGTTCTTCTGCGTAGCTAACATTCCTTGCTGAATATGCGTTCCGTCCGATAACAAAAGCCGGTATCGTTCATTATTGTTAGTCTGATTCTGAGTATTCACCAACCGAACATCTGTGATCTGTAGCACCGGTTTAAACTCCTCGGGATGACCTTCTCCGATCGATAGCATCTCTACTGCTCCTTCCGTCAAGTTAATCGGCGGCATTTTTCCGGCGAAATTACGACGGTTTTTTCCTCGAGAAAGTGAAAGTGAAATGGGGAAGAGGGTTTCAAAACCCTAAAAAGAGGAAGCGGGATAACACTGAGCGGGCGCGAAAACGAAAATAAGTAAAAATCTTTATTTTATTATTTTGTGATTTGTGTGAAATGACAGATTTGACCTTTTTGTTCAGTTTCTCGAGGATTCCAAGGGAAGTTTTGTGGATTTTTTGGTAGAAGGTTCTAAAGAATGGAGTAATTGCGAAGAGCCCCTCTAAAGTTTTTTTTATATAAGTGATTTAGACCACTAAGTTTAAAAACGAAGCAATTGAACCACACAAATTAATTTTTAACTATGTCTTTTGACATTAAAGATAGTTTTTTTTTTAATATTGTTGAATTCTAAAAAAAACGTCAAATATACGTGTGTAAGTTAGATGTTTTAGAAAAAACTAAGTAACCTTTACTAAATTAAGTATGATTAAAAAATGATTTTAAGTGCACATGTTTTTGAGTTAGGTAAAAGAACAAGCTTAAAGTCATAGATTAGGATTTTTAATTGTGACCTATACTTATAAGTCGCATCGGCTTTCTTGATCATATGATTGACTGATTGAGGAGTTTTCTCCTGAACCATTAGGTCAAAGGTTTAAAGCAGATAAACAGAAGAAAATCATGATATAAGTATTTTAAAATACATTTTGAAAAAAAATAAATTTTAGTAGCTTAGTTACCTAAACTCCTAGTAAGGATCGACTCCCCATATTGTAATCTCCTCCCACCTTCTTAGTCCATCCAAACAAACTCTTAGGAATCGTTTGGTTGGAAACAAGTTATTTCGAACGTAACTTGTGGTGGCAAATGCACCTTTATCGTAATTTAGTTTGCTAAGCATGTGACTAATAAAAATGGTATAGCTTCAATTCTACTAACATGCAATGTTAAAATTGTCATTTTGTACTTCATTTAAGCAGACGAAATTGAGCTATATATCTAGCTAACAATAGAACGATCACAAAGACGGCTAAAAAGTGATTACTTATGAATTTACTCATGCTAGTTACACACTCTTTTTAACTTTTTATGAAATTAAAAACAAAAAGACAGTCTGATGTACTAAAAATAACAAAAACAAAATGAGAGTGCGAGCTAGTAAAACCAACACAATATTTGTTTTTTTTATTTTGTTACATGCTTAAGAATCAAATAAAAACTTACAAGTTACACTATACAATCAGGACATGGGAAAAAGATTATTCAATTGAAACATAAACAATAATAAAAATGACTAAAAAAATCAAAGTTTCTCTTAATTTCTGAAGGCACAATGTTTTCGAATTTCCCCTGCATTCCCAGTAAGGACTCCAATTTGTCCCATTTTCACCATTGATTCACCAAAATCCTCAAAGAAAGTTGATCCATGACGATTTAATTGTGATAAAACATATTCTTTTGTTTGAGTATTGCTAAGAAGAGCTGCATCAGACGCGAACAATCCTCTTCTTTTGGCAATCATAGTGTAATAATCAGCGTCGAAACTCTTGAAACTTCCAGGATCCATTTCAACAATTGTTGTCACATCTCCAGGTTTACATTTGATCTTCAAATGATTAATGTAGTTTTGATCCATGTTTGGATCCATATCACCTTTGCCAGTGAAATTATACAAACGACTCGAAAAGGAAAAACAATGTGACATCCCAATTGTGTGTCCTCCTATGAAAAAAGAAGAGCAAGGTTGTCGTTCAAGGATAGTCAGTTGAACAAATATGTATATGAAAAAACGAAATTTTTTACCTGATAGAACAACAAGGTCTTTAACATTTAGTCCCAATGCACCAAATGTAGTTTTGAGAGTAGTGAAGTTATCAAAAGGAGTTGGTAGGTTTTTTGAGGCCTCTGAAAGAATTGAGACTCTTCCATCTCTTCTACCTAAGGGGACTGACCATGTTGGTCCATTTATCTGTATTATAATGAAATATGTATATTTTATTTTAATCGGATTAAAAAAGAAAATATGAAGTATAGAGTAATTAGTTACCAGTGAAACAGCGTCACGAGCAGCTAAGGCTAGAATATCAGAGCAAGATACAATGCCAGGACACTCTTTTTCCAAAGCAGATTTAGCAGCATCTATCACTTGAAATCCTCTTAGGCTTTGATTTGGAATTGCATCTTTCTCTGCTTTATTTCCTTTTGTTGAATTTAGTAGCACCGAACCATCACATCCCTATATAAAAAAAGTAAAAATAAAATAAATATATTGACGAGGTATGGACTCCATCGGTCTCAATTTATATGACATTTTTCGTTTATAAAGAGTCAATCTGACTAATCTTCGAGACTGGTGCATTAAATAGTGGTGTGCTTACCCTAACAAAACAATCATGGAAGTGCATTCTTAACAAAGGGGCAGCCAAAGTAGGAGCAATAGAAATGTAGTGTTTTGTTGTTTCTTTGACAATTGCTTCCACATTTGGACATGTTTTCTTGTAGAATCCTACTTCTACACCTTCACAATTATTAGTAATCAAAAAGAGTTGAAGAATGAGAAATGAAAGAAATGTTAATGTTGCCATTATATTAATTTTTGTGGAGAAAATTTAAAATCTTGAAGTGATTGATGATTGAAACACACAAATGCATGCTGTTTAAATAGGAAACAAATTATGATATCAATCCTTTGATTTATTAAAATGATAGAGTTGGTAATTGAGAGTTGATTTTAAATATTTAGTAGTTAACACTTAACACCTTCTAACCTTAGAATTTTTTTTTAAAATATTAGTTCTTTTTGCTAATATTTAATGTAGTATTTTGATGGTGAAAATATTAGTTTAGGAGATTTATGAATTTTTTAAATCAAACGGAAGTGAATTTATAATAATTATGATGAATTTTCTTTTTTTTACTATCTAGATATCCTTTAGAAAATGCATTAAGGACTAACAGGCTAATTAATTAGCTCAATAAGTATTTTTTTTTAAACATAGAGAAAATGGATTCACCATAAAAGAAATACAAAGAAAACAAAAAAAAGGAAAAAGACAACTAAGAGCTTTAATTAATAAATAATCATGCTACTATTATGTGGTTGATTTGTTAATTAAATTGTTCTAACAGAAGATTTGGTAAATTGGTCTAGCTAGCAAGGAGGTAATTTATTTATGTATTAATTTTTGTTTAAGTTATATATACTTGTTAGATTTTGGTGTTTTTGATTATTCGATGTATAAGATCGATTAATGTTGAGGAAGTTTTTTTTTTAAAATTTTTTTTCACATAAATAATTACTATGATCATTTGGATAATTTTATATATTACACGATCTGTTGATCATATATGCTCTTTAATAAAATATTTCTCCCATTTTTATTTATACTCTTCAACTGTGATTTCGCACTTCAAAACTTGACAGACTCCTTCAGTTTTTTTGTTTTTTTTTAAAATGGTCTTTATTGATATTTTAAGATTTTATTTTATAATTTTCACGAATTTGTGAGCGAATATAAAAAACAACAAACATTTGGTGGTCGATTTCACATTTTTACTTATTTAATAGTGTTATGTCTACTTTGCTATTCTAACAACTACTAATAAAGACTAGTTTACGTACGTACCAACTCTCAACTCTATAATGTACCTAAATACTTACCTCATTTATTTTCATAATATTTAATTTGTATTTCAATGTATTGTTGACTTAATCTTATTATTAGTTAGTCATCATAATCTTATCATTCCAGCTTTTTAACTCATGCGAGTTGTATTTCCTTATGACTACTATAATAGTAAAACGTACAATTCATATACAACATAACCTATCGATGCATACATGATTCTGACACGCTCAAAGCTAGAAATTTGAAGATTGAATACCATTTCGAAACATTAAGATTTTAAATTTCCCTATAATAAGCTCGAGTGGGAAGGATTTTTCGAGATCATATGAAAAAAGTACTACTCATATATTTAATCGATGTGAGATTCTAATGTACTGAAAATTTGGAATATTATAAATATCTAACCATATCCTGATTAAGTATTGAAGAGTGTATAAAAGCAATGATATATAGGTATATGATTAGTATATCTTAGTTTGCAGGAGAAAAATAAGGGAGTGGGTTGTAGATTCCCCTAATGCATTTGACATCAATTAACTTAGAAATATATTTTGTCCGTCTACTAAATTTAAAATTTTTATAATTTTCACATATATATTTAATTTTCTTATCTTATTTCAAAATTTTGACCTTTCAAATTTCTTATACAAATTTTTAAAAAATACAAATGAGTAATTATTCATTAAAGAAAAGAAATTAAAGTAAATTTATGTATCTTTTAAAGTTAAATTTCATCTCCATCTTTTTTATATATTTATTTTAATACTATTTGACTTTTCAATTTTTCATGTGTCTTTTCAAGTTTCTGTAATTTTGTTCTATAAATTTAATTTTTTCAAGAAAAAACTTTTATTTAATATTCCTATAATTATTGTGTGTAGGAACTCTAAAATTTATTTCACTCATTAAATTTTTTTTCTTTCATCTTCCGATTCCAATAGTAACTTCTTTGTACAATCTTCATTCAGATTTTACTATATAAAATTTCTTTGTTATTATTGATTGTACATAGTTTAATCTTCTTAATGATATTTATTCTGATCAATCTTTTCACATTCGTTAAATACTCTATAAAGTGTATCATAAGGTCCAATTATATTATTTGCTTTTTTTGGTTAAATTTCTCCTCCAAAAAGAATTACTATAGATAAATCTATTCCAATATAATTGATTTAGCTACAAATATTGACCAACACTTTCTGTATATTGCTAAGCTAGCAGCATATTCACTTTTTTATATCTATTTATAAAAACTTCTATTGCAATAAAAAGTTGATTTGTGAATGTCTTTGCATATTTGCACTTTGAAATATGGACATGGACTATGTTTGGAGCACACAGGTTCATAGTTGACTATATGTTCTTATAGTTTAAATGATATGAAATACACATTCGAGAACTAGTTAACTTAGAAAAAAATAATCAGCACCACTAGAAATAGAAAACAAAAGGATGGATATGACATGAAAGTAATATGAGAAGGATGATAGATATATAATTTTACTTTGCTACATAATAATGGCCGGGTTAAAAATAGAAAAATATGAAATGTGGGGCGGAGCGGGTTGAGAATTTTCTGGGTTGCCGCCCCGCCCGGCACCGTTCCATTGGCATCCCTGTATAAGACATCTTTAATAGCATAAGAATATGTTTATAACTAACAACATGCATAATAAACAACCTATTCGTCTTCATAACTTAATAGCAAAAATCTATAATCCATAGTACCAATAAGTTGTGTAGAAATGAGACATGATTAACAAATACTTCCTCTGTCCCTATTTAGTTGTTAAAATGGACAAGTAAATGGCAGAGTGGCTTTCAGCCAAATGGTTGTGATATCTTGTCAACAAGATACCTTCCAAGAGAATTGATACGCGAGGTAGAGTCGGATTGTTGCATTCCCCTTTGTCTGATCTTAATTCGAGCAAGGTAATCTGCTGCAATCCATGCAAAACTTAACATAACAGTATTTGAGACGTCATCTGTCTTTTGCAACTCCAGTACTGTTCTATTCAACCAATGAGGATGGTAGGTAACCCGATACCATGCAGACGCCTTTCTTTCATACATATCGTTCTTCTCATCAATGGGAAGTTGATCAAAATCAGGCTCCATGTGCTCGAAAACATTTCTGAACTCTTTCCTCAGCGCATTATATGCCTGCTTCAGCCTCGCTTTTAATTCCCCTTGCTTCTTTGAATTGGAGTTTGCCATGGACCATATATGTCCAGTAACCACCTCTTCCTCCCCGTTAACTCTGTATTGTCCTAAAAGTCCATTCAACTGAATACCATAAGAACATTTGCGATTCCATGCTTCAGCTAAGAAATCTTTGTATCCTGGGATCTCAAGATTAGTATCATATGGGATGTCTTCAGGGACAAACTCAAGTCCAGCAAATTCTCCCTGAGATTCATCTTTAACTTGCCGATATAATTTACCCAAAATTTTCTCAGAGGTGTATGACTGAAATTCCTCTTTCCCCATGAAGTCAGGATACATTTTTGGTCTGAGGTTATATGGCATGGTGACAAGTTTTCCAGTTTTGGGGAAATCTACAGCTATAGCAGCAAGCTCTGCCAATTTAAGACACTTCTCATCCAAAGCTCCAAGTTCACTGAGGTCAGCATGAACCACATGCGCGTTGCAGATTTCTCCTAGGCTCTCTTGAACCATGTTCTTTGAGAAAAAATGTATAATGTCCTGTAAATAAAGAAAAAGATAGTTAAAATACAAAAGAATGCTAGGCAACCAGTTGAATGATCCTACAGATAACAAGTGCAAAATCTGTTGGATATACCCAGACACCACAAATGGTCACAAATATTTTGAGCCATGAAGACTCTCTCCCTCTTCTATTACAAAACAAAGGCAACTACAAAATCAGAGAAGCACTAACTTGGGGTGCATAATACAAGAAAAGTGAGCAACAAGTATCTTACTAAAACGACAGAACTCAAGACAGTTGTTAAAAGATAAATATAAGCTAAAGAGCAAGTAATGGTAGCGTTTCAAGGCGGCCTATAATTATCTCATACTGTATCCAAGTGAACATAGGCTGTAACAAATTTATACAGATCTGGAAAAGCTAACCAAATATAGGAAGATACGAATCAAACATGCAGGAAATATCATAATAGTTGAGTAGTTACCGCATGTTCAATTTGACGACCCAACTGTTTAGCTTCTGCAGGAGCATAGTCCATTGGCATCCAGCTTTTCTTACTGGGTGGGATGAGATTTTTATCCCAAGCCACAAAGTAGAGGTCACCGTCAAGGTCACTCCCTGATGCTTGATCTGGATGTGGCCTATCCCCCTTCTGAGGAAAGACCAGACAATCATAGAGATGGTGTAAACCAGGAACATCTACAGCCTCCAGAATCCTCACATCCCCTGGATGAAGACACGGGTTCTTTGCAATTATAACAAGGCCCTTTATTACTTGAAGATTTTTCTTGATATCAGAAAAATTTGGACCATGCTTAACAAAGCAACTCTCCAAAGAAGGGCTTGACACTTGAATAAAGCATTGGCCTTGCTCAAGTTCACCTAATTCATCCAAACAGCCCATCAACCACCTTCCGGAAGGTACAAATATCCTTGCCTTATTCCTGAGGTCGCCAAGTTGAGCAGCTCTAATGCTAGACAACATCCCTCTTAAATGAGGCTCACTTTGAGGTTTAAACCCCGCACTCAACATTATAGCTGCAGTATTTCCTGCCTCAGCACATGAACCTGTAATGATATCAAAAGCCACATCCAAATCCACAAGTATTTTATCCAACCTTGATAACATTTCATTCTGCATTTCCCAAAATATTTTATCTTTAACCTTCAAAGATGAGAGCAGGGTTATTATTTGCCGGTTCAAAAAACCAGGTTGTAATCTCGTCCAAGAGCAGATTTCAAGGATAGTGTGATTTGAGTCAAATTTCTTCATACTTGGTCTCACAGAAAGGCGGATACCATCATTCTTTGCCGGCCAACATGCGACA